GCAGTGCTGTTCGGCAGTTGTGAGGGAGCTCTCTGGATTTCAGGCACTTTCTGGGATTCCACAGCCCAAGCAGCCCTGCCCGCCCTGCCAGCCTCAGGGTGACTATCTTGGCCCTTGGCCCTGAATGTGGCGGTAACGCAGACATCTCTCTGTGGGGCCTGAGGCCTCCAGTGGGCCTTCTTTCTGTCCAAAGCCGGCAGTGAGACTTGGGGCCAGGAGGTTTTTTTTTTCATTTAGGGTTTGGGAAACCTCTGCCCACACGCACATGCCCCTCTGGTCAGCTCAAGGTAAGCCATGCTGACCTGCCTGCTCGGGTCATCTTGACTTTCCCCTTCTTCCCTCGGAAGCCTGGCCTACTCCGCCCAGTGTTTAGCTCTTTTGTGGCCAGGTTGGGGGAAGGATGGATGGACATCCCCCCCCTCCCCTTTTGTACACTGTGTCCTTATCCATTCTGTTTTGGAAAGATTCTGCCTCTTTTGTTCCAGCCCTTTTAAGGACTGTTGTCTCCAAAAGCCTGGGGCCTGGCTCACGGTCCTGGGCGGACGTGGCAGGTTTGGCATTGTCCGCAGTACAAGCCAGTGAGTCATACCAGCTGTGCCTGTCAGGCCAGCACCCACCAGCCCCTTCTTCTAAGGAAGGGGACCTGCTTTGTTAATTGGTGTGCAGATGCGTGTGTAGGGAGGAATTGCCTGTCACGGGTGTCCAGGGCTGCTCTCCCGGCAGGCTGCTCTGCTAGGCAAGCCAGGCAGGGCCCAGGAAGCCGGAAGCTATTTCCTGGACAGCCGATTCAGACTCTGGTGCTGGCTCCCAAGTGGCCCCTGGGGCACTTTGACCACCACTGTCTGGGACATACAGTCATTGCCACCTCCTCCCCCAGCTCGCCAGAAATAAATGCAACTTCCCAGGCCCGCCCTGCAAGGAGACACCCAGCTTGGCAGCTGTGGTTGTCCTGAACTTTCTGAGTCCTGTCTTTGTTCTCCTAGTTCTTCACACAGTTGCACGTGCAGCTGGTGTGTTTCTCTCAGGTTGGTCACACCTGGGTCTTGGGAGGTCAGTGATGGACCATTGAGAGGCTTGCAGTGGATGGGTTGACACAGGACAAATGAGTGTCAATTCTAGAATGTAAAGCTGATCATCCAAATAACAAAAACTTAAAATTAAAAAAAATAATAATTATGTAATCAAATGGAGAACTTAACATTTGACCTGTCCTGGGAGCAGTACAGCCAGAGAGGAGGTACAGGCAAAATTTCATTGCATGTACTTTGGACATGTTGTCAGGAGGGACCAGTCCCTGGAGAAGGGTATCATGTTTATTAAAGTAGAGGGGCATAAAAAGAGAAGAAGACCCTCAAGGAGATGAACGGACATACTGAGACCCCGACAGGAGTGGCCAGAGTGGACGCGAGCACAGCCACGTCTGTGAAGGGTGGCTCTGGGCAGGCAGCATTCATTGCCATATAGCAGGTTGCCGTGCGTCAGGACAGACTCCACGTCAGCAATAACAGTCCACCCGGTTTTTTCAGTTCTTTGTTCTGGTCATGGCAGGCAGGGACACCCATGGTTTAGTTCTTATTTGACTCGTTGCCATCAAGTTGATTCCCGCCCAGAGCACCGTAGAGGACAGCCCCGGGGTTCCGAAGCTGTACGGGAGCAGTCCCATCTTCCTCTCATGGAGCAGCTGGGCCTTTGAGCTGCTGACCGCACAGTTAGCAGCCCAACGCGCAGCCGGGCAGCTCCTGAGGTCCTTTCATGTCCTGTAGCGATATGCAAGTTTTCTTAAAACTACAGTTAATTAGTATAGTTAAGAAGGCAGTAAGTCGTGTCACGGGGCTTAGTTTAGACACAAACTGTGTGTAGGTTTGAATCCCGGAAGTGCCACTCCCTAGCTGTGTGACCTTGGGCAGGTCATTGCACATCTCTGAACCTCAGCTCCTCCGTCCCTTGTAGGGCTGGTGTAGAATTTAAATGAGAACGAGAACCACGGTGCTTAGAACCTTCTGGTGCACACACAGGCCCCCAGGCATGTTGACCAGCAGCCTTTTCCTTGGAGACTTAACTGATGGTTGGGGAGCACCACGGGGGCGCGTTGCTGCTGGATTGCTTAGCATAGGGGAGCAGTAAAGGGAGGCCGTGACTTACCGTGACGTCAGGGGCATGGGTGTCGTGATCCACTGCAGGGTGGCTCAGGTGGTTTGGGAGATGACGTTCTTCGGGACTGAGGCAGCGGGTGGGCATCCAGCGCATTTCCAGCGTCCACATCAGTCTCTTGTCTCTGTTGGATGTCCACAGGCCAAGCCCAGCATTCGGTGTTTCATAAAACCCACCGAGACGCTCGAGCGGTCGCTTGAGATGAACAAGCACAAGGGCAAGAGGCGGGTGCAAAAGAGACCCAACTACAAAAACGTTGGGGAGGAAGAAGACGAGGAAAAAGGGCCCACTGAGGAAGACCACGCCGCCGCCGAGAAGGCTAAAGGTACAGAGGGTGGTTCAAAAGGCACCAAGACGAGTGGGGAGAGTGAAGGTGAGTGCGCCCGCGACGTCGCCCCGTGGGGAGCCAGGCTGCCATCCTGCCTCCGCCATCCCCACTGTCCCCTCCCGTGTGCTCAACACCGCAGCGGTTCACCCCACTCTAGACAGCCCAGCCACGCAGCAGCGTCTTTACTGCCCTGTACCTCAGTTTCCTCCTCTGTGGAGCGAGGCGAGCAGCGGGCTGCTTTGTAGGGTCGTCCCAAGGATAAAGTGGTGCCTGCTG